TGAGACAGTCATCTGAATCGAATACAATCAGGAGGGCGGTAGACGCAGACCACTCGTAGTTTAAATATCAAGCATGGTTGGTAGATATCAATCGAGATAAGTTCGAAGTTTCCCTGGATATTTACTTCATTTGTGTCACAAAAGAGAAATTGATTTTATCAGAATGCAAACACCGCCGCTCTTCTTTCGCGCGATCACAACGGAAGATCACATACGATAGACCAGAAAGAATTTCAGCATCGCTCACTTTGGGCGCCAAACAAGTTTCAGTAATAAAAAGATTGTCAGGTGAGAAGGAAATCAAAAATAACGCGAGTGGCTCAATTTATTCACCAACGACCTAGAATTGGAAAGAAAACGTTTGAAAGTGTTGCCTTGCTCATTTATCGGTTTCCCTGCCGTGGCTGCGAAGCGCGACGGGAGGAGACTGAATTTTGCGACGATGTGTGCGCATGAGCGAGTGTATCAACAGGAACCAATTCTCCTTTGTAGACAACAAGCCTTTCCTCATGCGTCCTGCTACAAAACATCTCTTTTGCTCTCTCCCTCAACTCACGTTCAACTTCTCTCTCCAGAACCGTCATGCTTCTCCTTATGTAGACTCCTTTAAGTCACGAAGCATTCGGGCCCGGGAGAGAGCAGTCACTCAATGGCTCCGTGTGGGCAACTCTACTTTTACCAGACGAGACCTTCCAGCCACTCTTCTTTCCCTGGAAAACTTTGACTAACTTACATTTAACGTCAATGGCGTCCAAGATATCACGTACCTTGGATCCAGTATCTTCCTGACGTGCTGAAGCTAAATGTTCAACACGCCCATCACCGCAGTCCAGTTTGGGAGACCCGAAATGACGATGCTTTTCATTTTTGCCTCCCTCTCTATCATTCCTTTGCCCAGCTCACCTAAGTGCACCAATATCTCACTTGTGATCTCACTCATCTCAGGTATGTTTAAGTCGAAAAGTTTCTTGAAGGGATGTTGGAGGGTTGAGGTAGGGTAAGGATCACCTAGGGCCTCCAATGCAGATGTGAATGAAAGCTGCGATAGGGTAGGATCAATAGCGTTTTGAGGTTGAGGAGATGTCTCCTCAGATCTCTATTTTTTTGCTGTGATCTGGCGGTTTTTGGAGGCATTGGATAGAATATAATGCAGCAAAGTGAGATACGCAGGAAAGATGAGAAATTGATTGAATCGGAAAAAGGCACTAAGATTCCTCACAATGACCCAATTCAAAAAAAAACAATAATGGCAGAGTCACCAAGCGGCATAAAACACTTGGTCGATTAATCGAAATCGGACCGGAAATGCAGCCCGTATACTCTTACGTTGTTTCTTAAGTCCGTAGAGTTTTCATACTCATTCTCATTTCTTTGAGGAGTGGTTGGTTTGCGGCAAGGTCGTGAGCCATTGAGAAAAGCTGATAATACTCTTTAGAACATATTACTTGATTCTGATGAAAAGCTGTTCTGCCTTGAATCCTCAGCTTTTAGAGGCAAATATCTCAAGAGGCAAAAAGAACTAAATTTGACACCTCCCTTTTCTTATTAAGAATCGTTCCGCGCGAATTTTCTCAACAAATTATGGAAAACGGCATATTCCCTTCAGTATGAGACAAAAAAGAATTGGATTGCGTTAAAAACTAAGAACAGGGTGTTTTCGATGCATGGTTCTTTGTAGCAGTTCACAGGATGTTTTCTAAACAAGGCTTTTTATAGGACGGTTAGGAGGTTTTGTACTAAAAAATTGCAGACAATAGCAGAACGGTTCTTATATAATATGCATGTCAACAGCACCGTCTAAACGAATTTCGCATGAAAGGCCCTTAAACATGCAGTAAGTTTTTCTGTGCGACAAAACGTGACTTCAAACAATAAACATCGTCATAGCTTTGCTGCAAAAATGACCGGGAGTACTTTAGCATTCAGCGCGATTCCGTTCGATCTAGCAGATTATCCGTGTGTCAGTTGATTCCATCTGTTCCAGTCTAATGCAAATCATAGAACGGCGTCTGCTTTGTTTCTGAAGGCGATCCTCGGCACTGGTTAGACTACTTTTTTGGGACAAGATAGTCGAAAGTTTATTGGCTAAAAATTGGCTGAAAATCTGACGGCAAAATGGCAGGAGGGGGTGTAACCAAGAACATACGCTATTGACTAATTCTTTTTAGAATTCGTCATTTTGTTGATTTATAAATGCTATGCGAACTTATGAAATGACCTGATATGCAGAGTGTCCCAAAAAATGTATCCACTGTTTGATTGTTAATAACTCTCTTATTATGAGGTCTTTCGAGAAGCCGTAGGCACCACTGTGTAGAGCTGGCTTTAACTTAGTTTTACAGTATAGAGCGAATCGTTCACCTTTCTCCGTTGCTGTAGGATTACGGTAGACACTTGAAAGAGGGTTCTGGGCCATGAAAGGGCATATTTTGCCTCAGAAAGGAATCAAAACAGCCTGAAAACTTTTACACTAGGCCAGTTAGAAGTTGCTGATTCTAACTGTAAAGATCCCAACTTATTATGATGCTTCACTGAAGAGTAATGCGAGGTAAGCAGTGCGGCCATTTTCTCAATGTTCCTAAAAAGTGCGGTTACATCGTTTAGAAAGCCTCGCAATCTTGGAGATAGTTGAGTATTGAACTCAGCGTCCCTGAAAACCCTATTACACAAGTTTTCACATCTTTTTGAAAATTTTTGAAACGGCAGCTTTTTTTTACAGTGACACCATATTTTCCAAGTTTCTACCTTAATCCTACAGTAACGAAGAGCGGTCGGTGATTCGCTCTATACTGTAAATTTAAGTTGAAGCCAGCTCTACAAAATGGCGCTTACCGCTTCTTGAAAGACCTCATAATAAGAGAGTTATTAACAATCAAGCAGTGGATACATTTTTTTTGGGACACCCTGTATAACGTTCACATATAAACTCGCAATCTTCAAAACTGTAATCCCTAAGATCTTAGGCATAAAAATTCCCGTGAAGCTATGCTGAAGACTGCTCAAAGCTTTGAAACCACCACACTTTTCAACCATTTCCAAAAATGCTACAATAATAAGCGTCCTCTCACAATAGTTAAGTTGTAGAACGACTCTTATTTTTTCAGTTTTTAAGCATGTAAAGTATTTTCCAGTAAGCTATTGACTGTGCTACATACCTATTCAAAAGAAAGACGCCGCTAGCTACTAGTAATTCTACACCGTTACAGACAACAGCGGTGCAAACTATGCAGACTTAGGTATTTTTCCGTTATGCGGACCCATTTTTCAAAAGGCTCATATTATACGTTCTTTAGTCTAAGAAAAATTTTCAATGGACTACGAGGATTGCCTCCTTGCCAAATGTCACGCAAAAAGTGACACCTTGGTCCATTTTGACGTGTTTTTTTTTTCGAATTCATTTTCGGTGAGATAAAAGAGAATTTGTGATCATCTTTTAGCTGTTCAACTGTTTTACATAGGCACAAAAAATCATGGACTTATTCTGAACGTTTTGCTTACTTTCAGCAGTGATTCAAAAATGTATTTCTCTTCAAACCCTGTTCGCCATGCGAATTTAGCCGAGACTATAGATGATAGCTTGAAGTGTCTTGCTGCTGCTTAGTTCGTTTCTTTACAAAGGAACGATCCCAATTTAAAGGCAGTGGCTCGGCAAAATCAAACACCTCGAAATCTCTAACCATGTTCTGACTTGGGAAATGCTGGTTTTCGCCATTTTCGCGCTTTAACCCATTGACGACGATGTGGACCACCGGTGGCCCACAGCCCTTACAAAGTCATATGCTTCCCAGGTCTAGTATTTTTTCCATAGTTCAGCATTCTTCTAAATTTTTGCATTCTTCTTGGAACCTGCCTGACTTCGTCGTCCATGAAGATTATTGTAGTTGTCCACAAACTTTATATCTCGTGAATAACTACAAAACATTCCCATGCCGAAACTGCGGTGCAATATCGCGTCGTCCCACAGCGCCGCCACGCAAAATTGGGCGTCGTCGTCAATGGGTTAGAAAATGGGTTTCCGGAATCAGCGCATCGAATCCGAATTACCTCATGTAAGCGAAAAAACCAAAGGTCGAGGATTTGCCCAGCCACTGCCTTTAAGGTGGCAAACTGGAATGAGCCGCACACCATTAGATGCGTCTTGATGAGCTGATTTTAAATCTGCCTTTTATGTCTAAGATACCGTTTTCTGGAAGAAATTATGAGCGGTTAAATGTGTGAAGACATTAGGGTTTTGATGTATAAGCTTTGAAATCTAAATTGGAAATGCATGACAGGCATGATAATTAGTGTGCTGATTTCAAAGAACATTTACATTTGATAGGAACGCAAAGAAGTGTTTTTGATCAACTAATTCTTGAGGTATGGCGCGGCATATTTGCCAAATTTGGACTTTTCATTGGTCATGGCTTTTATCAAACAACTTAACTTGCTTTCTAGTTAATCAAAAATACTTTTTAGTGTTTCCTAGAAATGAAGCATTCCTTGAAATCAGTACACTCAACAGCGTGTTATTCGTGCACTCTAGAGTTGACTTTAAAGCACATTATGCATTAAAACTCCAATGACTTTGTATTTTAACCAGTCATATTTTTCCAGAGAACGGCATCGCAGATACGGAAAATAGATTTGGACAGCTCATGAAGATACCTCTAATAATCGGTTCATAAATGTTTGCCACCTTGAGTTGGGATCTTTCCCTTGTTAAATGACGGAGTCCTAGCACACTTCTCTTTCCTGAGCAAGTTGATCTGTTCATCGATAAATAGTACGTGTTGTTATTATGACAATGTTCATAAAAAAGACTGAGTTTACATCGCTAAGTAGGGTAACACAAACTTCTGGTAAAACCCTGTTAAACATGTAGTGACACGTGGCAGAAGGCTGACACTGCTTCCTGTGAAGATGGGGCAAAATATGGCACAAGGGTAGAAGCAATATTTTTCAAGATAACGGAAAAGTACCCAGATCTATTAAGGGAGTGCTAATTTCCACTTTTGCAGATTTGGTTGCATTGGAAAACTTTGGATCAGGTGCAATGGAAAATTGGGGTTTAATCACTTTCAGGTTAGCCTGCATTAGATGGCATTCACAACATCGCATCGTTTTTACCATATTTTAGAAGAAAATATCTACTGGATCTTGCTGTGCCGAACGCTTCACTCACCTCTGAAGAGCAGTCATCATTTTTGTTGAATAAGTACAATAGGCACATGGATATCGAAAGCGTTGTCACTCATGAGCTTACACACCAGGTTTTGCAGCTTATACTTTAAGACTAACAAGGGAGGTCCGTTTGCTCGAGGTGGCCATCCATATGAGACTAATACGACTTTGAGAGGCATCAAACTCTCATTCCAATTCTGTCTTCGTTATCTGCCAAGCGCCTCTGGACGCCGAGTCATGAGCGTTGAAATGTTGAATGTGTGATCTCATCAAATTTCGTCAAGACTGCTCAAATGGCCCAAAGTCAATTACCAGAGCACCTCAGTGACATACCTTTTATTCAAAACACTCGTACTTTGCACTGCTTTATTTGGGCGCTGAAAAGACCGTAACATTTGCTTTTAGCTAGAGTAGGCGTTCATTTCTCGCACCGAAAAACATTCATAACTCGGCGTGCAAAGGCGCTAAGCAGAAATGAGATTTGGAATGCGGTCGGTGCTCTTCAAAGTGGTAGAGGATTCATTTGGCAAGGCCATATCGTTCAATCGTACCCCCCCCCTTTGTAAATCATGGCATCAAGCACTCAGCGTTGCGAAGAAGCTTTACTCTGAGTGGCGGAAAACAGAACTGAAGGCATAGGTCACTGTTGACTTTGCTTTACACCAACAAGTAACAATCTAGTGTATCAATTACCTTGTTTCTTTCGTAGAAAAAGATAGCTAAACTCTATTCTCGGACTGGATTGCAGTCATCAGTCCTTCGTTCGGGTTGGATACTTCTTGATCGATAATGGCTTCTTTGCTTTTGTTACTTCATGACTGTGTTGTTTTTCGACTTAAGTATCTTTAGTAGATACACTGTTGGCCTCTTTTGGTTACTCGATATTGATGCGCCACTTCCTTGCCTGCAGCTGTGAACTCTCATTGTCCTTTGACTGGCTTGCCTTCATCAAAGAAAGCCTCTTATTATTCGAGAAATTACAACGGTATTTCACGTCTGTGCATTTGGTCTCTCATCCAGACCGTCAAAACGGCTGTTAAGCTGTTCTTCCATCCTTATACGCTGCCTTCCTTCTATCCTTGTCGGTATAATCACCAATGAATTGATCTTTTTGATTGCCATTTGGCGACAGTTCAGCCGAGAAAGGCTTTTCGATGAAAGTGCTTGTATATGTCGTTTTTGGAGAAGCTATATCCTTCGGTAACAAGTTTTCTACGGCACTTGTAACATCGCCGAAAGTGGTAGTCAAGCGCTTTTGCGAAGTTTTTTTTTTTGAAAACTTATGTTTTTATACAACACTATCTAAGTCAATAGCAAGCAGTATAGCTCTCCTTTTTTGCTTAAAAAATACCCTAACCCAACAGGGATAGGTATGTCTGATTTGCAACTATACACGACAGGCTTGAAAGAATCTTCTATCTTTTTTGGTATATAGCCTACACTCAATTAGCGGTTCATATTTCCATAAATTTCGGGCTAAGTCTGTTGTGTCAATAAATTACCCATTCATTCCCTTTCTTCTCTTTGTCTAAAAATCTTTTCGTTTGCTCACAGATGCTCTTATCACAGATCATTATATCGATTATATCCAAGACAAAGACAATAATTTTAGAATTCTACACCGTTTAGCAAAAATCGAGCGATAAAATATGAAATTCTATGAAATGAAGTACCCTATTATCCGTTGTATGAGCCGCACCCTTTTCGCTTTAAAGGCGAACACGCCAAAAGACTGACTGTCATCATGGAGCGCGTTAAAGGCAGTGGCTTGGCAATTCTTAACCTAGTCAAATTTGCGCTTATATGGGGTTTTTTAATACGCTATCCCGAAAATCCACTTTTGAAAGCTTGAAAACGGCGAAAATGAGCGTTTTTCAACCTTCCCTTTGATATTGGACGAGTGGAGCAAGGCCGATGACGCTAAATCGCGGCAAGACCCAATGGTTATAGCGTTGGCAGCCTCCAATGGTGAGAAGGAAATTGCCAACTCGTCCAGATGCGTGTAAGATTGGCCTGCGCCTGTAAGTTCGAGAGCGATTTTCTCGGCATGGAAAGCATGCTGTGCAATCGGGATGCACTGTTTTCATATTGGGCGATAGAGAACCTACCGCGTTAAGATCCTGAGTTGTTGGATTTTGCCGATCCACTGCCCCTTCAAGTGAGAGCAGTATGCGATAAGGCGACCGCTTCGCGAGAAATATGAGCGGCGGCACGCCTGGGTCTGCTCGCGTTTAGAGTAAAAAGGGTGCGGCTTATACAGAAAATAGGGTATTAGGATAGTAATCGATTCTTCTCCATCTCGCTCTATACACTTCAAAGGGAATTGAACAAGGGAATTTTTCTGAATTCGCAAAATCGACCCTACCGCGACCAATGAATCAATTAATGAATCACGAATCTTTCAAATGCATAGTACCATGCTTCTTATTTTTTCTTGCTTAAGTGCAATAGATGAGTTGGATGCACTTTTTATTCATATTGTCATTTTCCTCTATAAGGTTGACCAGCTATTGCGAGGACCGTTTACGGTTACTGCATGATTGGCATCTATTCGAAACAACATTTTTGCAATACTTCTACGAGAGGTGCTTTTATATGCATGACATGACACACAATTCATGGTAAAAGTCTTTCCTTCCAATTCCAATTATGTTGTATAAAAGCTCAAAATTACCAGTAAAAATTAAATTATGGACAACATTTCCGATTTCTTACCGTGAAGAACGATGGCTTTAACCCCACTTCAGTGGTTTGGCAATCTGGTGACGCTGGCGTGGTGGGAAGAACTCTGGCTGAATGAAGGTTTTGCTGCATACTTTGAAAATCTTCGATTAGTAAGTCCGGGTGACGACGAATTGGCAATTGTAAGTTATTATTTGTAAATTTCTACAAACAGCGGTTACTTAAGTTGCTCGTGCTGCACAAACTTGAGTTGAGAAGCTTTTGAGCAAAGTTTTTTCAAGTTTGCAACATCAGAAATTTGAGGTGGCTATCCTCTTCGAAAGTCGCTAAAAAACAGAGGCGAAACCAGTACATTGCCTAGAGAAGGTGCTACTTACAATTTAGTAGATTTTCCGCTTAATACAGTGTGATTGCACAAAAGATGAAATGCGGTAAAATTTGTGTGTGAACAAATAGCTTCGACTGTGACTCCGGTCAAATGCGCGCGCAAAATGCCGACAGTACTGCGTGGCTATTTATTCACGCGCAAATTTCACCGCAGCGCCTTCTGTGCAAGCACAGCACACTATTAAGCGGAAAATCTGTTCGACACTAAGGAGCATGCTTAAAAATAGAGCAGATCGTGAAGTTTTGATCTGTTTTTGGACCTATTCGCAACCCTCAGGAAAGATTGAAAAGCACATCAAATAGTGATAATGCACTCACAGTACGCTCAATTGATCCGCGACTCCTAGAAATTCGTACCCTCTTTAACTTTAATCAACTGTAAATGTTCTTGTGTGCTTTCGGAACAGCCTTTTGGAGGAACTTTGAGCGGATAAGTCAAAACTTCGCAGTACAATGCTCGCCTCTCTCCGCCTTGTCTTTAATTTTCCGAAAGTATTGACCAAATCGATTTTGGCAGTGCATTTGGTGGTCCTACCAAACTAGGATTGAAATTCAGTTATCACTGAGCTGCTCCTACAACAGCTCAGCGTTAACCGTTCTGAAACGTCGTTGACAACTAAGTTTCGCAACCGTTTGTTTATAACCTTAATATTTTGGAAGTGGCACGTTTATATCGAAGCATTATATTAGGTCGTTCCGAAGGTAATGTCGCTTTTTTCGAGTAAACGCTACATTTCGTGGAAGCAAGATTTCTAAGAGACCTTGAAAGCATTCGATGCAGCACTTTTTTCTTTCTAATAGCTATATAAGCATTGCTTAAGATTCTATAAGCTTAAAAAAATTACCAAAATCTGCGACCCATGCTTTCTGAGAAGGTGAAGTTTCACAATTTTTGAAATTTTTTACAACAAGCCTCTGATGGAGTATAAGTAACAGGTGGATTGAGCAAACCCCTATAGAAAACAGCATGACTTTTTTCTTGTTTTCATAGCTCGTCATAATTTTTGCAAAGATTTTTGAATTTCACCGAATTTTAGCAAGCTTGTCTTAGACAGAAATGCATCAAACACCAATAAATTTTTGGATTTTGAAAATTACAAAGGTGAATTATGGTTTGACACTAATCTTACAAAGCAAAGGAGCGTTTACCGCTTCAGTTTAGCAACTTTCCGAAATTTTGGGTATTTTTGGGAAATTTTGGGTACGGCCTGGGGCGCCTCGGAAAACTGAATTGTAATGATTTTATCCCGGAAAACTTCGTGAATCGGAAACCAAAAACAACTGGTAAGAAGAGGAGAAGAAGCTGTGTCGAATGACACCCGAGTTGCTTGCCGATTGTTGTTTTGTGAGGTTTCAGTTGACCAAATATGGAATTTGATAGCAGTGAAAAATTGATTCTACAAACTCTAAGAAGCAAAATAAGGAAAAGAAAAAAATAGTTTTGTGTCATATAGGGTTTGCTCTATTTATCTGTTACTTGTACATCTTCGGGGAATCAGTACAAAAATCCTACTATAATAACGCGCTAAGAGTGTTTACGTGTTTTTGTGTGCCTGTCTGTCTGAATGTCCATCTGTCACGAAATTCGTAAAGCTTGTTCAGGGCCCGGCACGAGGTGGGCAAACGGGGTTTTTTCCCCCAAAAAAACAAATTCCCCTCTGATCCCAATATTTTTTACGAATACTACGACGATTTTGCGCAATTTAAGTTCTGTTAGAAAGCGTAAAGCATGTAGTTTCCAAAAGTCCCCTGGCGACTTTCCAGCATGTTCAGATTGCAGAGATAAAAATGAAAGAACGAAAACATCCGAAATTCGGAATTTTTGAGAAACATTTCCAAAAATCTAGAAACTGCGCGATAAAATCCAGAAAAGCCATTATCCTAATTTTTCTTTTATTTTATTACTAACTGAGTTAAGTTTGTGTTAATCGAGCTTTTCTTTCAAAAATTATGATTTTTTGAAAAATAATGCCGAAAAATCAATTTCTTAGGAATTCTTAGGAAAGTGATTTTTCGGAATTTTTTCAAAAAATCATAACTGTTGAAAGAAAAGCTCAATTAGCACAAACTTAACTCAGTTAGTAATCAAATATAAGAAAAATTAGGATAATGGCTTTTCTGGATTTTATCGCGCAGTTTCTTGATTTTTGGAATTGTTTCTCAAAAATTCCGAATTTCGGATGTTTTCGTTCTTTCATTTTTATCTCTGCAATCTGAATATGCTGGAAAGTCTTCAGGGGATCTTTGGAAATTACATGCTTTACGCTTTCTAATAAAACTTAAATTGCGCAAAATCGTCGTGACGGAAAGAAGTTATGATTTTTTGAAAATGGTGCGAACGAACTTTCGGTTCAACCTAATATATATTAGGTTGGTTCATAATTAATGCACGTTTTGAATTTCAACCGCAATAAGTTATACACTTTTCATTCTTATATAGGCTTCAAAGTACCATCGGATAGAGCAAAGCAAGCTCTATAAGATGGCACTCATGCCTTTGCGCCGTGCTCGATCCACGGAGAGTTCGAACTCAAAATCTAAAGATTTCCAAATGCCCAAAAAATCGAAAAAAATCAGATCTTTGTCCAAATAATTTCTACGGACCTCCCACTCGCTCACATCAATACTATCGATATCTGATATCCATATGTGCGACTGCCGTATTTTTTCCATGACTAGAAATTGAGATAACGAAAATTTCCCTGATTTTCTCAAAGCAATGTTGAGCCGTTTTTGCATATGTAGTTCTATACTACAAGCCTAGGTAAGTATAACTGTAGATTTTCAGCCCATTCCAAGTGGTAGTTTTCGAAAAATAGCGAATTCGGATTTTTTCTTTTCAGTTTCAGTGCTAAAATCGACATTTCTAGAAAAGTACCGTTCAAAATAGGCTGAAAACCTACAGTTATGTTTACCTAGGCTTGTAGTAAAGCAATACATATGCAAAAACGGCTCAGCAATGCTTTGAGAAAATCAGGGAAATTTTCGTTTTCTTAATTTCTAGTCAAGGAAAAAATACGGCAGTCGCACATATGGATATCAGATATCGATAGTATTGATGTGAGCGAGTGGGAGGTCCTTAGAAATTATTTGGACGAAGATCTGATTTTTTCCGATTTTTTGGGCATTTGGAAATCTTTAGATTTTGAGTTCGAACTCTCCATGGATCGAGCATGGCGCAAAGACATGATTGCCATCTCGTAGAGCTTGCTTTGCTCTATCCAATGGTACTTTGAAGCCTATATAAGAATGAAAAGTGTATGACTTATTGCGGTTGAAATTCAAAACGTGCATTAATTATGAACCAACCTAATATTATATTAGGTTGGTGCAAAAATAATGAGCGTTTTTATTTGCTTGCTTTAACAAAGCAACCAGACTCAACCCAACAAAGAGTAAGGGGTACTGTTCGATAGAGCAAAGCAAGCTCTACAAGATGGCACTCATGCCTTTGCGCCATGCTCGATCCACGGAGAGTTCGAACTCAAAATCTAAAGATTTCCAAATGCCCAAAAAGTCAAAAAAAATCAGATCTTCGTCCAAATATTTTCTACGGACCTCCCACTCGCACACGTTAGTACTTTCGATATCTGATATCCATATGTGCAGTTGCCGTCCTTTTTCCTTGATTAGAAACTGAGAGAACGAAAATTTTCATAATATTTTCAAAGCAATGCTGAACCGTTCTTGCATATGTAGTTCTATACTACAAGCCTAGGTAAGCATAACTGTAAGTTTTCAGCTCATTCCAAGCGGTAGTTTTTGAAAAATAACAAATTCGGATTTTTTCGTTTCAGTTTCAGTGCTAAAATCGATATTTCTTGAAAAGTACCGCTCGAAATAGGCTGAAAACTTACAGTTATGCTTACCTAGGCTTGTAGTATAGAACTACATATGCAAAAACGGCTCAGCATTGCTTTGAGAAAATCAGGGGAATTTTCGTTTTCTCGTTTTCTAGTCAAGGAAAAAACACGGCAATTGCACATATGGATATCAGATATCGATAGTATTGATATGAGCGAGTGGGAGGTCCGTAGAAATTATTTGGACGAAGATCTGATTTTTTTTGACTTTTTGGGCATTTCGAAATCTTTAGATTTTGAGTTCGAACTCTCCGTGGATCGAGCATGGCGCAAAGGCATGAGTGCCATCTTGTAGAGCTTGCTTTGCTCTATCGAACAGTACCCCTTACTCTTTGTTGGGTTGAGTCTGGTTGCTTTGTTAAAGCAAGCAAATAAAAACGCTCATTATTTTTGCACCAACCTAATATATATATATATATATATATATATATATATATATATATATATACAGGGTGTCCCAAAAAGATGTGCACACTGTTTGATTGTTAATAACTCTCTTGCTTTCATGTCTTTTACCGAGCTTGAGGTACCATTCTTTAGAGCGAGGTTCAACTTAGATTTTCAGTATAAGGCGACTTATCAGCATCTCTTCATTACTGTAGGACTACGGTAGGAATTTCGAGGAGGATTTTGAGCCATTGAAAGCGGTATTTTGCCTCAGAAGGAAAATC